AGTGTCTTATAAAAGGGAAGAATAGATGAGGAGACAGAGTCATCCAGGGGGCAGACATAGTGTGAAGATACGTCTACAAGCCAAGGAATGCCAAGCATTGCCGGCAGCCACTAAAAGACAAGAGAAAGGCACAGGACTGTTTCTCTCTCAGAACTCTCACAAGGGATTGACATGGCTGATACCCTGACTGGAACTTCTAGCCTCCAGAACTGTGAGACAATAAATTTCTGTTCTTTAAAGCCCCCCACTTTGTGGTACTTTGTTACAGCAGCACTAAGATACTAAGACACCTATGGTGATGCCAACCAAACCAACGAGGGGAAAGGAAAGTATCACCACTGTCCTTGTCTTCCCATTGCCTCTTTAACTTGGGTGGACATCACCCAGGGATGGCTGCCAAGGGTGTATGAGGACACTTAGGACGCAGCGATGGCTTACTCGTGGCATTTCATGCCCTCCTTCCAGGCCCCATGTCAGTGACGTCGCTAGGGGGATGCAGAGGGGTGGCGTGCAGACTCCACCAGGTGACACCTTCAGAGGGGATGACACGAAAATGACTGTCTATTAAAATATCCCTGTAGTTAGTTATAACAACAAAAACATTTTTCGTAAGCCCAACTTACATGTATCAATACACCTACAAGGCTAAAACTCTATGCTAATTTACTTTTTGAACCTTCCAATGCCCTCTGGTCAGAGCTCTCTTTATTACCCAATTACAATGATGCTTTGAATTACGCGGTTTTGTCTCCATGCGCTACAAGTGCATGCTGTTGTTTTTGTTGCTGCCAGTGTTTTTATAGTCGCTGATTTTGTCAAATTTTCTGGTGTTTTAGCTACAGTATTGTGGTAATTAGTATTTGTGAACCTGTATCAATAACATTTTTGAGAAGGAAATAATAATTAATGGAAAAAAAAAAACCCAAGCCCGTTACCATCGAGGCAATTCCGACTCATAGCGACCCTATAGGGCAAAGCAGAACTGTCCCATACGGTTTCCAAGGAGTGGCTGGTGGATTCGAACTGCCGACTCTTTGGTTAGCAGCCTTGGCTCTTAACCACTGTCTTACCAGGACTCCAATTAAAGGAAAAGAAGGAATGATATACGGGAATTATGATTTATGAGTAACATTAGTGCAAAAAACATTACTAAGGATTCTGTATGGTCTCGTATGAGAGGCGGTCCATGGGGGGAGGGGGGGGACGGTGACACCATGAGTTATTGCAGTGGGTGACACCAACCCTAGTGATGCCGCTGCCCCAGGTTGCCATTTCCAGGTCTGTGTGGCTGAGCTTGTTCTTTGCTCATCTGGCAGACTTGGCTCAGTGTGTGTCCGCAGTGCCAATGAGCAGGGCTAAAAGCTCTGGGCAAAGAGAGGGATTACTGAAAGCCCTGAGCCAGGCCTGTCCCTCTGCAGCTTCCTTACATACCTTTTCCCCAGGGCTTAATCAACTCCAAGAGGTGCTCAGGGCTGGATTATGGCAGTGGGAATGGAGAGGCTGTGTGACCTTGGGCAGGTCACTTCCCCTCTCTGATCATCCATTTGTAAAATGGGAGTAATCATGGCTGCCCCACCTCTCAGGGAGATGTTGACAAGAAGATGGGAACATAGTGTGAAAGGGCTTTAGAGCCTGTAATTACTCTCATTGGTCAGACGCCCCCACCTCCAAGGAGAGCACCCAGGGAGACACCCAAGTGGGAAATATGTCCCTGCACATACGTGTCTGTTGGCTTGTATCTCTGTCTCCAGCTCTAGGCTGTGGACTCCATGAGGACATGGAGTGTCTTTTTTCTTCTCTGATGTATTCCGTATTTTTATGCAAATAACACACACCTCCTACATTTGTTTGCAACCCCACCCTCCCTCCCTCCCCCCACAAGGAATTTTCATAAATGCTGCCAAGCCAACTTTTTTACGTGTTGCTTTAAAAAAAATTAGCATAGTGTGCTTACGAGAATACCTTGGGGGGTGGGGAGGGCATGTTCAGGGTAGAATTACCTGGTACGCAAGGTAAGCACAGCCTTACTTGTGCTTACTTACTAATCTGCGGTGAAACCCATGTGGAACTGATCACTACAGATTAATAAGTAAGCAAAAGTAAGCCCGTGCTTACATTGCTTACTGGGTCATCCATCCCTGTCAGGGACAGTAAATTTGAAAAGAGGCTTTGATCCTGTAGGAAGGTGCTGTGGGATTGGGAGAGAGACAGATGCCAGCCATACCCAGAGCAGAATCTTTGATGTGGTGAAAAAATGTGAAATTGTTCACTACAGATGATCTGGCAAGCAAAGCACTACGCTTACCTTGCCTATTGAATAATCTGCACCTGATAAAAGAGAAGGGCCACTGATACTATTTTCAGTGTCTGAAGCACTGAATGCACTTCCTAGTTTCACGTGGCTTTCTCATTGAGTCCCTGGGAGCTGAGCAATGGCCCATCACTTAACTGTGCTGATATATGGAGGGGTGGGGAGGTGATTCCTTACAGGGTAATCGAAACACAGTTAATTGGGGCAATAGGTAACTCATTCAGAGGGTGCCCGCCTCTCAGGTGGCTGAGCAATTGCTGAGTCTCTGAGCCACTTGGGCCTGGGGATGCCCTGTACTTGCTGAGCCACAAAAAGCAGGGCTTGACTTTTCCATTAGGCACAAAAGGCATGGTACCCAGGGCCCATGTTTTAATTTCTTTTAAAATCAGAAGAAAAAATGAGTATAATAATAATGAATATGTAATAATGAATCCGGCCAGTACTGCACTCATTTTTATGCCAATGTAGTTGTAAAATATAGTTTTTAATTTTTTTTTGGAAGAAGGGGCCCATGGAGACAAAATGTCTAGGGCCTGTGAAAGTCAAAATGAGACCCTAACAATGAGGAGGCCCAGGGAGCAAAGAACATGTTCTTTCCTTGCACTCCTTGAAGGGGATGTTTGGGACTAATCAGCTACTTTAAACAGATTGCAAAAATGGCCACAATTCTTTGTAGCCCTTCTTACTAAACAAATCGAGTTATTTAACCACCCCTTGAATCTAGACTGGCCTTAGGACTTTCTTTGACCAATAGATATGGTAGAAGTAACAATGTGTGAGTTCCAAGCCTGGGTCTCAAGAGGTCTTACAGCTTCTACTTTCTATTTTTGGAACTCTGAAACCTTTGTGTGAACAAACCCAGGCTAGCCTGCTGGATGGTTAGGAATGCTGGCCCAGTTGCCCCTGTTAACCTGACAATGATCAAACAACCTCCTGAAGCAGAGCTACCTAGCTGACCCATGAACACTGAGTGAGCCCAGCTGACCTCAGCAGAAGAACCACCCAGCTGAGCCCAGCCCAAGTTGCTGACTCACAGAATTTTTAGCTAAATAAATATTTGTTGTTTTAAGCCACTATGTTTTGGGGTGGTTTGTTATGCAACAGAAGCCTAATTGATCCAGCTGCCTTCTGCCCTGAGGAAGGGCTTGTGAATGAGGAGGGAGAGGCTGTCCTCTTCTCACTTATGCAGGCTAATGGGTGAGTAATCAGCTAGGCCAGTGTTGTTCAGCAGAAATGTATTGTGAGCCATAAATGTGAGCACATATGTAATTGTAAATTGTCTAGTACATTTTTAAAAAGTAAAAATAAACAAGAGAGATTAATTTTAGTAATATATTTTATTGAACCCAATATATTCATGATATTAATATTTTAAAGTATAATCAGCATAAAAATTATTAATGAGACTTTTACATCCTTTTATTCATGTTAAGTCTTTGAAATCCAGTGGGTATGTTATACATACTGCACACTTATAGTGCAACTCAGTTTAAATATACAAATGGCCAACAAGCACATGAAAAGATGCTCAGTGCCATTAGTCATTGTTGTTGTTTGCTGCTATCAAGTCGATTCTGACTAATGACAACCCCATATGTGCAGAGTACAACTGTATCATGGGGTTTTCAAAACTGTGACCTTTTGAAAGCAGATCACCAGGCCTGTCTTCCAAGGTGCCTTTGGGTGGATTCAAACCACCTGCCTTTCAACTAGTAATCTAGTGCTTAGCCATTTGCTCCACCCGGAATAGGCACAACTCAATTTGGACTAGCCACATTTTAAGTGCTCAGTAGACTTTTAAGGCTAAAAAAACAAACCAAGTCAGTTATCATCGAGTCGATTCTGACTCATGGCGACCCCGTGTGTTTTCAGAGTAGAACACCTCATAGGGTTTTCATGACTGTGATCTTTCAGAAGCATATCACCAGGACTTTCTTCCAAGGCATCTCTGGGTGGGCTCAAACTGCCAAGCTTTGATTAGTGGCTGAGTGCTTAACCGTTTGTGCTGCCCAGGGACTCCTCTCTTATGGCTAGTAGCTACCATATTGGTTAGCATAGATCTAGGCTAGTGCTTCTGCATATTTGGATTTCACTAACCAGTCAACATTTTCTTGAAATTTTGAGGACCACTATTTCCACATTTTTATTTAAAAAAGCAAACACCCCAACAACTACCGTCAACTAACACCGTCACTTCATAAAAGAATGAATCTTCTGATGCTCCCAAACATAGAAAGGACGTGATCTCAGATAAAATACATCTTTAAATTGAATACATTTAGCTCTCAGGAAAATTTACTACGCTCATTATTTTCCTTATATTGCCACATATGAGAGAAAATTTTGCCCTTTTTTGCAACCACAGGTGATAAAACCCACGGATCTTATCCAGTGGTCCTTAGAATCACCTGGAGGAGCTCTAAAGGTATCAATGCCCCACTCTAGATCAAGTACGTCTCAACCTCTGAGGGAAAACTGTGTTGTTATTGTTAGTTGCTTTTGAGTCATGGCCCCCATGCACAATGGGATCGGACTATTGTGATCCACAGGGTTTTCATTGGCTAATTTTCAGAAGTAGTTCTCCAGGCTTTTCTTCTTAGCCCATCTTAGTCTGGAAGCTGCTGAAACCTGTTCAGCATCATAGCAACACAAGCCTCCACTGACAGATGGGTAGTGGCTGTACATGAGGTGCATTAGCCAGGAATCGAACCCAGGTCTCCTGCATGGAAGGCATGAATTCTACCACTGAACTACCAATGCCTCAAGCAGGCATTCTCCCCCAACGAAAAAAACACTGCCATCACATCGATTCCAACTCATAGCAACCCTATAGGACAGAGTGGAACTGCTCCAAAGGGTTTCCAAACAGCAGCTGGTGGATTCAAACTGCCGACGTTTTGGTCAGCAGCCAAAAGCTAAGCGCTGTCTTTCCAAAGATTTGTGTGGTCTGGGTTGAGAGCAATTGCTTTAGTCCAAAAATTTAACTCCTTTATTTTGGATATGAGCAAACTGAGGCCAAAAGTAAGTTTGTGCCAAAGCTGGGAGGAGGACCAAGAAGTCTGGGCTCCCAGGCAAAGTGCCGCTACGCCACCCTTACTCATTAAGCAAGGAAGTGATGAACAGGGCCCAGGGACTTCCCTGGGTTTGTAGAACGGTAGCTCTTGTGGAGCTAGCTAGTGAGATCAAAGTGAGCAGTGTGCAGAGCGGAAAGTGCTCACAGAGGAAAGGGTCAGATTTTGTACGGAAGTTTACAATCCTGAAACAGCACAGACTCACAGCAAACCTCCACCTTGAAAACCTAATGACTTCATTCCTGGTATTTCTTTTGACTCATGCACAGTGGTGACTTGTTACCTCTGGGAGAGATGGAGCAATCCAAGCTGGGTTTTCCCTAACAAGACTCCTGATAGTAGCTTGAAATGAAGGAGACTCCAACAGACTCCGTTTGTATCTGTGACGCTGGCTCTGTCACTTGCTAGCAGTGTGACCTTGAGCAACTTACTTCATCTCTCTGGAAGAGTTCCTACATCATAGGGTTCTCGATGCATGAATGCTTAGCCAGAGCCAGGCAGGAGGTAAGTTTCCAATAAATGATAGCTACTATTATCATGTTAATTATTTTACAAATATGGCTTATTACGTGCTGGGTACTGTTTTAAGATCTTAATAACTATGAACTCATTTATTCCTCATTACAACCCTATGAGATGACCACTATGATTATCTCCATTTTATAGATAGGGAAACGGAGTCACAGAGTGGTTAAGTAACTTGCCAAAGGTCACACAGCTGGTTAGGCAAGACTCTAGAATCCTTACTTTTAACTGCTCCCTGAGGCTACCTATGTTGTTCTTTCCTTCCCTCCTTTTCTGCCTTTTGGGCCCTTCCTGAGTGCAGACATTGGCCTGCAGGAGGCGGTGGCCACAGGGAGGAATGAGAAGTAGGCCAGAGGGGAGAAAAGAGGCAGGATCTAGGAGGGGCTATGTTTTAGTTATCTAGTGCTGCTGTAACAGAAATACAGGCAGTCCCCGGGTTACGAAGGTCTGACTTACGGACAACCCATACTTAAGAGCAGACTGCCATAAAGCCTGTTACCACAAGTGGATGGCTTTAACAAACAGAAATTTATTTTCTCACCATTTAGGAGGCTAGAGGTCCAAATTCAGCATTTGGCTCTAAGGGAAGGCTTTCTCTCTGTCCACTCTGGGGGAAGATACTTGTCTCAGCTTCTGTAGCCTCTGTATTCCCAGGTTCCTTGGCGATCTCCACGTGCAGTCTATTTTTCCCCTATTTGTGCTTGCTTCTCTGTGCTAATCTGCTCTTTTTATAACTTAAAAGTGGTTAAGTTTAAGACACACCCTACACTGATAGGATCTCATTAACATAACAAAGAAAACCCTATTCCCAAATGGGATTACATCCACAGGTATAGGGTTTAGGAATCCAACACATATTTTCAGAGGACACAGCTCAACTCATAACAGGCTAACAGCTGCTGAACTCCTGTGCTGTGCCAGGTATGATGCTGGGTGTTTTGGGAATAAGGTCTCATTCCATCGGCTTGTGCCGGGCCATGGTGGGAGGCTGGTACTTTATCTCACTTTACAGATGAGCCAAGGGAGGCTTCGAGAAGTTAACTTGCCCTCTGCTGTGGGCAGAGCTGGGAAGCCGCCTCTGAAGAGGCTACACAGGCATGCGTGGAGCTCTGTGGGGAAGTGGCCTCTGGCCTGTCCTTCTCTGCCTCCTCCTTTGCATCCAAGAAACCCTCAGTCCAGCCATGGCTGAGCACTGCTGGGGAGGAAAGAGAGCAGAGAGGGGCAAGACTGTGGATGGGAGAGTGCTTGTGGGCGGCCTGTGCTATTCTTCTCCAAGAGCTGCCCCATTCCACTGTTGGTGGCCAGGGAGCCATCCATGCATCCCCCTCTCCCTCCCTCACTCCCTCTCCTTCCATCCGTCCACTCATTCATGCATTCATTCATCCTTCCTTCCCTCTATCCTTTCCTTCCTTCCATGCATCCATCTACCCATCCTTCCCTCTATCCTTTCTTTCCTTCCATGCATTCATCCATCCTTCCTTAACCCTCCCCTCCTCTCTCCTTTCCTTCCCTTTCTATCAACAAAAGGTGCCCTACTGAATGAACTAGACGTGATCACTGGCCTGATGGCACTTGCAGTCTGGTGGGAGTTGAGAGTAGGCACTAAACAAATAAAAGCACAAATAATTTCCGTAACTAGTCAGTGATATAAAGGAGCTGTGATCACTAGAGGTTGAGCACGAGGGAGAGAGTAACGCAGCTGTTTTAGTTTATAGGTTCAGGGTAAGTTTCCCTGGGGAAGTGATGTTTCAGCTAAAACCTCAAGGAAGAGTGAAAGTTGGCAGGAGAAGAGCTGGAAGATGAGGAAGATGCTCCTGGAAGAGGACTCAGAATGTGCAAAGGCCCTGGGCAGAAAGTGTCTGCCACTTTTGTAGAGAGAAGGCGTGGCTGAAGCATGATGAAGAGATACGAAGATGAAGTTAGAGTAAATAGGGGCCAGCCAAGCAGCCTGGGAGGGTTTGGGATTTTATTATACTGGAGGAGTTTAATGTTATGCTAAATGCTCAGAGAAGCAGCATGTGGCCGGCCCACTGAGCAGAGCCATCCTTCTAGCTCTCTTTCCCTCCTTTTGGCTTTACCCTGAGCCCTTGGGATCCACCTAGGCTCGGCACCCTTGATCATCTGTGTTTTCTGCGCACACGGTGGGAGTGTGGCTACCTTTTGGCAAGTGGCAGTGCCTGCTTTAAAGCCCATGCCACGTCATTCCATCGCTGAGGCCACTTGTCATGGCCTTGCAGGGGCACACAGCAGTACTGAGAGCATCTGTGAGTCTGGGATCAGTCCTTCCTTCCACAAATGTTGTTCTATCGTCAGTCCCTCAGGCTCGCCCTCCCAGAGAACTCTGGGTTCCACAGATCTGGGTTCTCCAGTGAATCTGGTTCTCAGCCTGCCTACAGCTTCCTAGGTTGCCTGAGGCCCCGCGCCCTCCCACTGCCCACAGGCACCATTGCAAATCTCTTCCGTGGCTGGCAGGCTCTGAATCACCACCCCTGTCCCCCACCTGCCCTGTCTCCCAAGTCTGGCCCAGGGAAGGCGTTTGTAGAACATCCCCGGTGCCTGGCAGAGGTGGCCTCAGTCTTCCAGACAAGGTGGGGCTCGGCATTGCTGGCTCTGGAAGGGGACACCATGTGTTCCCAAGAATCCCCTCTTCCCCATCTGCACCCTCTAGCCAGGAACTGCCCCATGCAGCAGCCTCTGTGTCCCGAAGTTACTCAGGTTCATGAGCATGGAGAGCACAACGGGCCACAATCAACCTAGTGTTTCCCGAGAGGAACCCTCAGAAGGTCCGGCTCTGAGTCACCCTCAGGGCTGTTCCAGAGAAGGCTCAGCCTCCTCCCCCACCCTGTCCTGGGAAGTGGCTCAGACCCCTCCTCCTGGATTTCTGTGGGAAGAGAGGCAATAGCGCATGGTGGGTTAGGAAAAAAAAAAATCTATTGCAGTCAATTCCGACTCTTAGCAACCCTATAGGACAGAGTAGAACGGCCCCACAGGGTTTCCAAGGAGCAGCTGATGGATTCAAACTGCTGACCTTTTGGTTAGAAGCCGTAGTGCTTAATCACTATGCCGCCAGGGCTCCACACGGCAGTTAAAATCTCGGGCTTTGCGGACAGAGGGATGCCGGACGGGTCCCAACTCTGTCACTCACCGGCTGTGTGACCTTGGCCATTTAACGTAACCATTCTGAGACTCAGCCTCCTCAGGATGGAAAGGACAGTGAGTCCCACCTAGAGGCTTTTGTGAGGTCTGAGTGCAGCCACACCTGCAGAGGGCCTGCCACATGGAAGGGCCCACGCAGGAAGGCCACGTCCATGACAACGACGATGATGATGATGACAGTCAGGAAGTCCTCTGCACGTATGGAGAGCTGACTGAATGGCCCAGGGACCGCTGGGAATGTCCTCAGTGCCTCCCCCAAATCTGGCTAGTGCTCAAGGTCAGGTGACACAGTGGAATCATGGCTGCTCTGGAGTGTGTGGGCTCAGGCCTCTGAGCACTGCCCTGCCTGAGTGGGAACCCACCTGGGGAACATGAAAGAGCTAGGACTCCAGGAGTGACAGGGAAAGGGGCTCTTCCTGAGAGAAACTGCTGCTTCTGCTCCCAAAGTCAAGGTGGAGGCAGGCTGTCCACAGTTTCCCCCAATTACTGCTGAAGCACCCACCAATCCCTGGCCCTGCTGGTGTCAGTGCCCCTCCCTGGGTGAGGGCAGTTGTCCCTCACTTCAGAGGGGTGTCTCGTGGGTGAGCACAGCGATGTCTTAGTCTACCTAGGATTCTCTGCTCCTGACGGCAGGCTTTGGGGGCTGAGATGGAAAAGTAAGCTGGCAATGGGTGGGGGCTGGAGAAGGTACATTTCTGAGCAGTTCTGAAGCCCTGGGGACATAATGGTTAAGAGCTACGGTTGCTAACCCAAAGGTCAGCAGTTCAAGTCCACCAGCTGCTCATTGGAAACCTATGCGGGCAGTTCTACTCTGTCCTACAGGGTCGCTATGAGTCAGAATCGACTCGATGGCAACAGGTTTGGTTTGGTTTTATTCAAAAAGCAAAAAGGGCATTGGTGGTTCATTGGTAGAATTCTTGCCTTCCACACTGGAGACCCGGGTTCAATTCCCAGCCGATACACCTCATGCATAGACACCACCTGTCTGTCAGTGGCGGCTTGCGTGTT